TGAAAGTCAACAAGGGCAAGTGCAAGTCCTGCACCTGGGGAGGAATAACCCCCTGCACCAGCACAGGCTGAGAGCCAACCTGGTGGGAAGCAGCTCTGTGGAGAAGGACCTGAGGGTCCTGGTGGGCAACAAGCTGTCCATGAGCCAGCAGTGAGGCCTTATGGCCAGGAAGGCCAATGGTATCCTGGAGTGCTTTAGGAAGAGCATTGCTAGCAGGTCGAGTGAGCTGATCCTACCCCTCTACTCAGCCCTGGTGAGGCTTCACCTGGAGTGCTGTGTCCAGTTCTGGGCTCCTCAGAAAAAGAGAGACATGGAGCTCCTGAAGCAGGTCCAGAGGAGGGCTACAAAGGTGATGAGGGAAACTGGAGCATCTCTCTTGTGAGGAAAGGCTGAGGGAACTGGGCTTGTTCAGCCTTGAGAAGAGAGGACTGAGAGGGGACTTCATCAAAGTATGCAAGTATTTGAAGGGAAGGTGTTAAGAGGATGGATCCAGGCTCTTCTTGGTGGTGCTGAGCAATAAGATAAGCAGTGACAGGCAAGAAACTGATGTGCAGAAGTTCCACCTGAATACAAGGAAGAACTTCTTTATTGTGTGAGTGACTGCACACGGAACAGATTGCCCAGAGAAGTTGTGGAGTCTCCCTCACTGCAGATATTCAAAAACCACCTGCGCACAATCCTGTGCCATGTGCTCTGGGATGACCTTGCTTGGGCAGGGAGGTTGGACCAGATGACCCACTGTGGTCCCTTCCAATCTTATCCATTCTGTCATTTTGTGATCTCAACCGGTAGAAAAATAAAATGACTGCTAAATTGTTGACTTTGCAAATGGCTAATTAAAAAAATATTTTAATTGTGCAGACATCATATATATTCAATTGCTAGTTACCCACCAACAGAAAATCCTTCTCAGTCACAAACTGGTATCTTATGTGTTGTATCAACCTTGTCACCCATCATATGGGTTTTTATTAAAGCTATTAGTATACAATAATTTTTAATATTAAGGAAATGCCTTTATTGTGAATATAGTACTTCATTCTTCAGCAGTGGCCAGCAAACTATCTTCTACACTTATTCTGGACCTCCACGCTGTAAAAGAAAATCATACAGTTAAATTTCAATTCTATTGAATGTAAAACTGAGATCAAATCCTCTTTTGCACTACTGTAGACTAACAGAGCTCTAGTTTTAATTTCTGATTAAAACATTGATTTTTTTATCTGTATAAGAACATGAACAGAGTATCAAATATCAGCATCTGCCAATAACAGTTCAATTTTTTTCAAAGGAGAATAAAACAAAAATTAACACGTGCAAACCACAGTTACAGCTGCTTCCACTTCTCCCTCCCTGAAGAGAACTGAGTCTTACCCTAGAAAGGTCCAACAAACACAATGGTAGTGAACACAAGTTTTAAAATTACTCTCACTGCCCACATTCCAAAGTGCAAAGTAAAAAAAAAAGCCAAGGTGAGCCATTACAACCTTTATGAGAAACTAGAAAATTATTCAGGTCATTATCTTCCCAAACAAATTATTTTACAACTTAACTCACTGTTAAGAAACTTTATGCTAGAGGTCAAGAAGTGTATTATTATTAGAAATACTGATTTTATTTCTACTACATTGATGCAGCCTACCCATGTACTTTCAGGAAAACTGATTTCCTCTACTAACATCATTATGCTGTACGTGTCCTTATCATTTAACAAAGCTTTGCAAGCATCTTTTCATTTCAAACTCACAGTCACTTCACAAATTCTGTATATTTTGTGCATTCAGTATATACAACTAAGAATTCTTACAGAAGAAGCAGGCTTTTCTTGCCTTTCATGTACAATGCCATATTTGCAAATATTGTAGAAAATACTTATATCAAATTTAATAAAATTTTTTGCTACCAGAAATACAAGCTCATTTACTAACATGGAACTTAGAAAACTAGTTTGAGAAATATTTTGGACTTTGATTACCTTTGCTGCTCTAAGAACAGACTCCTGTGCTCATGTCCAGCACAGTCAAATTACATATTAAACAGCTGTTACAAAGCAGGTAGTGATGGTGATTAACATAGGCTATGACTGTTGCTAGCTTACCTGCATGTCTGTTCTAAGTCCACATCTCTCTGCTCAGCAATACCACAAGCTACTAATCAGTGAGAGTTGGGTATCTTCTGTTTTAAGAATTAGTAGTTTGGGTATTGTGCATCAAAGCCATGAAAGATCAGAGAAGTACACTTCCCAATAATTAGAATGTAACACCATAGAAGGAGGTGTAGAAATAAGTTAAAGAAGAAAACTTACTTGAATGTATTCAATCTCTTCATCTGACATTTGTTTCCTTCTGTATTTCTGAGGTAAGGTTCTTGCTAATTCAGAAGTGTCTGGTGTACCTTGTACTCTACTAACAGGCGAAATATTTTGAAATGCTGGTGATCTGCCTCCTATAGACTCTTGTGCTTTTGAAGCATGGAGAGATGGCACATGTGGTTGTAGAGATTCCTGTACTGAAATCCAGATCGCAAAATTTACAGAAATACTACCGGTCTGTAAAATTAATAAGCAACCAATAAGAGATACCAGTTCTTGAAAATCTTAGAATTAAGTCACTCTTATTCTCACAACCTGGTTTTATTGCTGTTAAATGCATCGAGTGCAGAATCTAAAAATTCTGACTGTAAAATAAAGCGTATTTGAGTGGCAGAAACACTGATGTAGAAACAGAAGATACATCAGCATATACCCTAGCAATGGCTTTTTCACTGGGAAGCTATACTTGGAGAAAAAGCATAAGGTACTATAATGTATGTTTGTGAGCAATTATGTAGAGAGATAACTAAGCCAACTAAGATCACTTTTCATTTATGACAACTGTAAAGACAGACAAGTGAAAAAGAGGTGGAAGCTTACAAAAAGATAAGCTTACAACCACAACAGCAGACTATAACATGCAATGCAGTGTTGTACCCATCTTTAATATTAAAAAACGGCACCATATCAAATTTTGTTAGTCACGTGTAGAATGACTACCAAGTATCAGGCGTCACCAGTCAATATTAAGACCTCTCCTACTTTCATTTCAGATGCTTTGTTGATCCCAAAGGACTACTAAAACAACATATTGCTAATATAAATCTGAGGTTTAAATATAACAGTATTGGGAATACCATAAATATCAACATAGATACAGGTATAAAAGTTAATGGCAAAGATTGCAATGAAATTATTTTTTTCCTCAGCATTAATTAGTAACATGAGGAAATATTTCTAAAATGTAGAGAGGGATGGCTCTCCCAGCTATAATCATGTTTTGAAAATACGGCAGACATTGCACACTTCAACTAAGAAAAGATGAGGAAAATGCAACATCATTTCTGCAAATATCACTGAATATCTAAAGCTGCTTCAAACTGACTTGGGCACAGTTACTTCAGGTACATGTTAGTATTTGGAAAAATGTGACTTTTATATATATAAAAGTAGAAAAGCAGCACTGGAAACCTTTGTGAATCTGTCTTGATCAAGCAATAAAGACATGCATGCATTATGTGTGTACATAGATTTGTACAGAGTCTGTAAAGAGACAAAGAGTTGTCTTCAAACTAAACCAAGCATGTTTCAAAAATCCTGCTCCAAATCAGTTGAGTTAGATAGTTGAAAGAGAAAAATTGTGTGCTTGTTCCTATATAAAACAGTCCATGTAAAGAAATGTGGCACAAGCTGTATCCATGCATGAAATACTTACTTTTAGGCCTGGGACCACTTTTTCTGTCAGGGAACTTAATTAATGGAGTATGTGGCTTGACTACCTAGAATGAAGCAAGGTAGTAGGAGAAACAAGAAGCACAAAATATATTTCTAGAAGCCAGTTACCTTCAAAATAATAAAATGGAATGTACAATGTATTAAAAAACCACACTATACTGCTGCTCTTTGCACTACTACTCTGATACACTTACTGCTTCTTAAAGATCTAAGTTTACTCCAGTAAATTTCACTTTTAAAGGTATTTCTGCACTCTGATGTCCAGACCACTTACAGGTGTTATTTTCCTTTTCTCACAGCAACATCAGTGTGTGCAGAAACAGCCACTGCTGTTGCATAAATGCAATCATAATGCAATCTGCTCTGGTGAGATCCCACCTGGAGTGCTGCGCCCAACTCTGGGGTCCCCAAAGAACAGAGGACTGGAGCACCTCTTGTACGAGGAGAGGTCTCTATGAGAGACCTGGGGTTGTTCAGCCTGGAAAAAAAGAAAGCTCCGGGGGGACCTTACAACCCACAGAAGGCAGATTTATACTAGATATAATGGAGAAATTCTTTACTGTGAGGGTGGTGAGGCACGGCCACAGGTTGCCCAAGAAGCTCTGGCTGGCCCATCCCTGGAAGTGTCCAAGGCCAGACTGCACAGACCTTTGAGAAACCTGGGATAGTGGAAGGTGTCCCTGCCTACAGCAGGGGGGCTGGAACGAGGTGACCTTTAAGGCCCCTTCCAACCCACACCATCCTGTGGTTCCATAAAGCTCTAGCAGACGGAATCCCGACCTGTACGTTCTGTCTGTACAAAATGTTTTCACCTTGCAGAGGGACAGCCTGGGAAGGAGCTGCCGGCCAGCGCCGCACCCTCTGCTATCACAGCACCTGCGACACCCGTGGGCGACACCGCACGCCTCTCCCCAAGGACACCGGCCGCTCCGGCGGCGTGTCCTCAAGCCACGACCGCCTCAGGTCTCCTCCTCGGCGGCGGCACCAGGCGAAAAGAGCCCCGCCACACGAGCCAAGGCTCCGGCTGCCTCACCCCTCCGCTGTCCCGAGGCCGCCCTTACCTGCACCGCCCTGGTGGCGGCCGCCATCTTGCTGCCCATGGCGAGGAGCTCGGTGGGCAGCGCCCGGCCCCGCCCACACCGGGGGAACGCCTGCGGCAGGCGGGGCTGCGCAACCAAACACTCCGCCTCAGCCTTACCAGTGAAAAATACCCACACGGAATCAAGCCTTTTGAGTCAAATCAGCGTTTTATTCTTATTATCCGATCAAAGCCCACCTAAAAAAATTCCTAGTTAATCACCAAGTTAAAAATGACAATATAGCCTAAGATAAAAAAAGAGACAGTACATGTCTCGAAACATGCTATACACCCTAAGCTTCAATTTCATTTGAACATCATATAAACAAAAAAAGAAAGCAAATGCTGGTGAAAATATGTAGATAAAACACTGCTTAGCTGCACGGTCGATAGCATGAAGTCACCACTTCAGACACAAGTGGCTGTTAGAAGAACTAAGAGTATAAAAATTCTGCTGTTTCAAATTATACGAAGTGCTTTAATAGCAAAAAAATCCCAGTTGTAGAAGCTTGCTAAAAAGTATTTCCATCTTGGGTTTTCCACTGGGACAGAGCAGAGTCAAGTACCATGCCCGAGCTCTGCAGCCCACTCATCCCCAGGAAAGCCTTGGTTTAAGTCCACTTTTACTTGAAATACATAGATTATTCATCTTTCTTGCATTATTGCTGTCTTTCAGAGAGAGATGAAGTTTTCGGACAGGACAGCTATGAAGCGGGTCTTCAGGTAGTTTCATTTCATCAGTTGCATTACCCATTCAAACATCTGTTGTGTGTCAGAAATTTAATTTCACTTCACAGAGTTGCGTGGACACATTCTGAGTCTCTAGAGAGAAAAACAACTTTCTGAAAGGTTAAACTGAAAAATTATTGATGTGTGTTAAAAATTAAAATATATTAATTAATTAATATTAATTAATATATTACAATGCAAATAAAATTAAATACCATTTCTCCTGACTCATGGAAGATGGACATTTTTTTCAAGCTGTAGAACAATTGCCTTTAAAGACGGATCTTCTGCCCAGTTAACTCCGCTTCCAATTATGATATTCTGTAAAAAAGGAAGATTTATTAATTAAAACAAGCCCAATAAAATAACTCAAAGAAAGCCTGTTTTTTAATTTTTAATTTTAAAGTCCTTGAAATCCTCAACAGGGTTTGAAGTAGGAAGAATGAGGGGAAAGCGGAAAAAAGGAAGTATTGGTTTAGATCCTATTGTCAATACACAGCCAAAAAAAAGCAAAGCTTTTAATTTCCTAGAGGTACTTGCACACTACCCCTAGTTTAAACACAGAAAATTAGAGGATTTTTTTTTTTAATAATATGAAATAAAGTTTGCCTCAAACACAAAATAATACAACTAGCATTCTCACCCTGCCATTTTGGACTGAAAATGGGAATTCAAATTTAACCAAAGATTTGCTCTACGTACGGCTTAGAAAACTTCAGGAATACAAAACCAGGAGATAATTCTAGGACTCTACTCTTAAGCCCACTAAAATGTTTAATTTGTCATTCTCAATTTGAGATGTAACGGTGTGATCAATGCACAATAGTAGTAGCCATACCATGCAGTCCAAAAAGATGTGACACTCTGTCCTTGAAATTCTTTCTCTGCTTGAGGCCCTTCCACCCTACCCCAAATCATGAGGTTTTCTTCCTCACTTTGCATGACTCCACACTCCAGACAACCTGCCAGCCAGCTGCACGGATACAGACTAGTCAGAAGAACCTGACAGATGTGGAACTGAAAGGGCAAAGGCTATGCTGCTGAAAAAATCTGGAGACAGGCTGTGGCTGCAGGCCAAGGCATTTCAGAGGGTTTCAGTGGGTGACACAAACACAGAGGGCATTAACACCTATTTATTTTTCCTAACTGTGAGATGGGGGAAGCTGATTTGGTAAGGTGCAGAGAAGATTCATAGTACAAGGAAATACAGCAATTGCTGTGACAGATGTTCTAAAAGAATATGCATTATTTTTGTAGCTTTTGTACTTTTGAACAAATATAGATTAATAGACTGTCTCTAAACTCTGTGAATAATTACTCCAAAGAAGTGTGTGACCATTTCATGTTTTTAGCCTCTAAAGAAACAAAAGTCTTCCTTTCATAGTGCAGTTTTTCTTTTACTCCTGTTACATAAAGTTTTTAGAAAACCCAATTTTGTGTTGTTGAAGTTACATTTGCCATACACTATATTATCTTGATTGTAATGCAAAATTGCAAACTTGGTTCTAAAAGACATAACACATTACCTGAAACACATTTTGAATTACTGTAGTCATCAATCTTTCTTTTTCTAAGTTCTGAAGCATCTTTGCTTCATCCAGGTTCTTATTTCCTTTTTCCTTCTTTTGTTTTTTCTTCATAGTCTGAATTTGCTGTAGTTTTCTTCTTTGGTCTTTTTTTAGTGCTGTTCCATCATTAGGAAGATGAAGTGTTAAGAAGTAGTTAGGTGAGCAGTAGAACTAAAGATACTCTTTTTTCCTCATAGCCACCTAAAGAACTTCCACTGCAACAACCCTAGCTTCCCACTCCACCCTTTCCCTCCAATATGCCTCAAGATATTTCTTTCACATAAGAGGCAACACATGCTGTGGCTATCTGGTATCAAACTACATCAATTTGTTCCCTAGTTGTCAGCAGAACAGAAAGTACCTTGTTTGCTGTCTGCATTTCTCTCAGATAGGGACTGCAATTTCAACATGTGTCTTATATCCTGTTTTCGACTGCCACAACTTTTATAGATCTTTTTATAGACTTTTAAGACCATTTCCCCTTTTTTAGATTTGGTTGAAATCAAATTCCAAAGTTGTACAAGGAACATATGGACATGACCATTGAATATTACTATTTTTATAGGAAACCTGGCTAAAAACTAGACTGATTAAACCTGTTAAGGGACAGTTCATACACTGAAAGAATGCTGCAAAGCATTCCATCCCTTATTTGCAAGGATATCAAGGATGTTAATTTTTCATATGAAAACAGTTATTTCATTGTGCTTGTTCCTTACTATCAACATATACACAACTCTTTATGTGTGAACCAAACAATAGCTGTTAAAAACTGGTGGCAAATCTGGTCATGACAGTAGCAGCATTCAAAAAACACTTTTACCTTACAAAGTTCTGAATACTGATTTCACATTTAAATTTGACCCATTCTTACAAGACTATATATATGTACTATTATGAGAGTTCTTTATAAGTAAATCCCCTCCATATTCCGCAAACACCTCAAAAAGGTGCAGTCTGACAAAAAAAAAATCTGTTAAGTGCTGTAGGGCTGATTTAAGTTACTAAATGATGTGTAATTTCCTGGGGAGCTTACACCAAATAATAAAATGCTGCCACGTTGGTTTTGAGTACTTTCTTGCATCTCTCATTACAACATGTCAGTCTCATGTTCAAGTAGGCAACACATCAGTTCATTTCAATAGTACTTCCCACGCTTTTAAGAAGTTTTATAATTGTGTTGAGAGTTTTGTTACTTCACATATCAATTAATATTGCTATAAGAACAACTTCAAAATATGAACTGTATGTTCAAATACAAAACAAAGTCCATACAGCTAACAAACTTACAGAGTCTTTTCCTTTTAATGTCAATCAACTTCTGTTTCTTCTCATGTGCTAGCTGAAAGGAAAAAAAAAGTATTTCCTAGACTCTTGTCTCCAAAAAATGTTGAAAGACACTAATTCAATCCACAAAAGCAGTTAAGAGCAACTGTAGAAGCAGACTTTAGTACATACTCTCTTCAAGTAATCATTTCAGTAATTTTGATAGCAGTAAGAACCTTTGTACCACATACTTAGCTTTAAATAACTTGTGCAGTCCTGCTGCTTTCAAAGTGCACTCCTGCCCATGCTGAGGTTGGTTGGCCTGCACAACTGTAACAGAAGCTACAGTTGCCACTTACCTGCTGATATTTGATTATTGTCCGGCTGAGCAACACTATGCGATTCACTGTTTCCAGGATCAGACTAAGAAAGGAAACACAGTTGCATACCTTAAGACCACTAATATAAGTCAACATCATAAATGTTTTTATCAAGGTTATTTGGTTTAAATACAGAATTTCCCGTTTGTCCTGACACCAAAATAATATTAGGTGTCTGCACCCTTTCTTTTTTACAGTTAGTATACTAAGTATCATTGTAGGGGCCAAATAGTCCCCTTATTTCCCTCTCAATTTCTCTAAGGTTTTGGTTAAATCTGTTTAACATTTTGAAATCACAGAGCATGGAAGACATTTGAAATCACAGAGCATGGAAGACATTCCCTAGCCACCTGGGAATGGCTATGAATTAAAGGTTCTGAATTCTGGCATGTGGCAGAGACATTACAGAGATGCAATCTCTTCAGCTGCATTTCTGATAGAAATTAAATTTCTCACATTACACTTCATAGGTGTGTACCCATTAATATTGGGTAGGAAATTAAAAGCTAATTTTAAACATGTTTATTCTTTCAGTTCTTTTGCAAAGTCTCTTTGTTCCCACATGAATAATTAGTAAGTACAGCAAAGCAGAGGCAAGGCCCAGTTACAAGCTCATATGTTCTCAGCTATTGTAAATGCAGGTAACTCAGGTCCCAAAGGCAAAAAAACCTCTCTTAGTTACAAGCAGTTTTCACTGGTGAATCAAAAGTTAGATCTCTATAATCAAAGGTTGGTTAATTCAGAGCCCAAATGTAAATCCATTGTGGGTATATGAGGTCTGATCATGTTGATTCTAACCAGATGGTAGACAGTATATCATTCAGTCAAACCTAGAAGAAGGAAGCTTGCTTTCAAAAGAGGTACAGTGAGGTAATCTAGAAATGTGTCACAATATGATGTGCAAAGTCCATTCCTTTCTAGCCATCTAACTCCAAAGAACACCTTACCATGAGTCTTTATCACCTTGATTCACTTTGTTTCTCAGGGCAGCCATAAGCTGGATCCTGCATAGTGTAAGGAATAACATATGACTGATGAGAACTGATAAGAAATTGAGAGAAGCAGGAAACTGAAGGAAGCAGATTTAAATAACAGAAAAAGGTAATTTCCAAGATTCCATTTATGTCCACTGTCATATGGGAATTATATATACAAAATACTAGTACATTTTAAATATCACACTTAAATAACAGAGCTTAACTCTCAGGACATGGAAGGAGTATTGATGATTATTTGTGAGAGTGACAACTCCTTTCTCTCTTGCCAAACATACCCAGACATGATTAATCCCAGAGTGTGCAGAAAGGAAGCTGGGCAAAGGTGGAAATTCAAATGAACAGCAATGTAACACAGGAGATGTCTAACACTATCAAATTCTACCTTTTCATATGCATTTATAAAATACGTCCAGGAAATATGCGTACTGATTTACACAGTCACACTCTCACAACTGTGAGGGAACATTTCTGTTTACACATTTCATCTGGTAGGGGTTTTTTTTGGTTCTCTACAGCATGTTCATCTGTATTCCTATGGTTCGATGGTACTAAAATCTCCCCACCTCCTCATACCCCTTTGAAATTCCATTTTAACGAGACTTATGTATATATGCATTTATGTGTGCACACACAGGGAGGAAAACTCCAAATAAAGGGGGAAGAAAATTCTACCTTTGCAAGGCCAGTGTCTTGTTCCAGAAAGAGACTTCTATTTCCTCTTTATTTGTTTCCAAATCTTCTGTGACACTGAAGGAAAAAAAACCCAAAAACAACTAGACAGACAAACCCAGTGTGAAGATAACAAAAAGTTTAAAAGTAATGTCACATTTTAACTTTTTTCTACATATATAATTTAAGAATTTTTCATGTGAACCACAAATTATTAAGCCCAGGAGTAATTTAGCATGTAGGACTATATTAGTGAATTCTAGCAATCACATGAAGGACTACAAATTTAGAAGCCACATCACATAAAGAACTACATTAGGAGACTGAGTAAAGCATTTCTTCCCCACATTTTCTCTTCATTTTCATTATTTTCACCAAACTGCTGCAATGTACTGATTGTTAATCCAGAGATTCACTAAGAAAGAGTAACTAGAAGAGAACCTCCAAGCTCAGCTTCTAACTCTACTCCTTTTTATTTTAAAATACATTAAAAGTTCAAAGTTATCCAGTGACATACCCTTGAATATGCTTTTCCTCAACAACCTGATCGAGGAAAGTTGTTTCACCTGCAAAAGAGAACATCACTAAAGAAAGCCCAGTGTAGACTTTTACATACAATCTATAGAGCATAAAGGATCAGCATTTTTTGTGCAAGCAAGCTATTTCTTATTTCTATCTCCAAGCTTTATAATCTCTTTTACTATTACTGAGACTATATTATCAATCAGCTGTATCAGATAAATAATTAGATTTTAAAATATTTTCATTTAGCACTTTTTAGATGTGCTAGAGCTGGCTTGTGGCATTGCTCTGTATATGCAGCTGGATGGTTCAGAGGAAGCGATGTACCCAGCCACATCCTGGGCTGCATCAGAAGTGCGGCCAGGAGATCAAGGGAAGTGATTCGGCCCTTTAACTGCCCTTGTGAGACTCCACACGGAGTACTGCATCCAGCTCTGGGGTTCCCAACACAATAAGGTCATGGATCTGTTGGAGCAAGCCCAGAGAAGGGCAATGAAATTGATTTGAGAGCTGGGGCACCTCTCCTATGAGGAAAGGATGAGAGAATGGGAGTTGTTCAGCCTGCAGAAGAGAGACTCTGGGATGACCTTACCAAGTCCTTCCAGTACCTGAAGGGAGCCTACAAGAGAGCTGGAGAGAAACTTTTTACTAGGGCACGTAGTACAAGAAGGAATGGCTTTAAATTGAAAGAGGGCAAGTTTATACTAGATATAGGGAAGAATTTCCTTACTTTGAATGTGGTGAAATACTGACACAGCTTGCCCAGAGAAGCTGTGGCTACCTCATCCCTGGAAGTGTTGAAGGCCAGGCTGGATGGGGCTCTGAGCAACCTAGTCTGGTGGAATGTGTCTCTGTCCATGACAGAGGCTGTGGAACCAGATGGTCTTTAAGGTCCCTTTCAACTCAAGTAATTCTATGATACCCCATCTTGGTACCCTCCTTGCCGAGTCAGATAATCGACAGACCACCCTGGAAGTCCTCAGATGATTGAAACACCTTAAATCAGTATTGTTGCCACACACTTTGGCAGGCTTTTGGCAAGACTTCAGCCCCAGTGACCAGATTCCTGAAAACCCTCATGACATGTCAGAGGAGTCTAAAATGCAAATCCAGAAAAGAGGGGAAAGGGTGACAACCATACGGCATCTTTGTAAGCATTCAAACACGTCTCAAGAGCCGCCTAGAAAACTCAGTAAAACGCGTAGCCAAGAAAAATATTTCGTTATTGTAACGAGCACTTTTGAAGGATAATTAAAAACATATATATTAGCCACGTCGCATTATTAGACAGTGTAAGATCCCGCTGGGAGGAGGGGCGTGCTTACCGCCACGAACGGCCGCGCTGTACTCCATGAGCTGCTGCTTCATCTGGTCCCGCAGGCTGCGGCGGGGGAAAAGCGACAACGGTCAGACGCTGCGCATCCCGCCATCCCAACCCCCCCCGGCTGCTCCCCGTCCCGTCCCGTCCCGTCCCGTCCCGTCCCGTCCCGTCCCGCCAGCACTGACCGGAGCAGCTTGAGGACACCCATGTCGTGGCCGCCCTGGGGCCATGCCTGAGCCCTGCCCTGCTCCAGCTCCTGCTCCAACTTCCAGGACTCGTCAGCCATCGCCCTCACTCAAACCTCGCGGCTCCCGGCGGCCCGCGCGCCCCGCGCCTGCGCAGAGCAGTGGGGCGGGGCCCGGTCTGAGGGCAGCGCGGGAATGTGTGGGTGGTACGTGCAGAGAAGGCAAAAAAAGTAAAGCTGAGAGCAGCAGGCAAAGCGCAGTAATCCTTTTGTCTGACCTACTGTTCTCCTAGAGGTAGAGCCAGCAGGTGTAAGCCACTAACACAACTCACAAGTATACTACCATAAATATATACCGAGTGAATAGACCTGCACTCTTTAAAACCATAGACTTCAGGGTTAAAAGAGACCTTTAAGATCAAGTGCAGCCATCAACCCGGCACAGCCATCATGTTCACCATTAAACCATGACCATATTCACACTTTCTTTTGAACAGTACAAGAGATGGTGACTCTACCACATCTCTGGCCAGCCTGTTCCAAGATCCAACAACCTTGGAAAGCAGGTGTGTTTGTCTTAGGGAAGGTAGAGTACAGCTTCACTAGTTGACCTCCTCCTCAGAGTCCCCAATACTTCCCAGCCTTTCTCCTTCCTCTCTCAGCTCTGCCACCAGGCTGAACAGACCATCCACCTTACACAACTCTATGCTGCTCTCTGAGTCTAATCTGGCAGACGCTCTGCCACACATTAGCAGAGCCTGTACCAATGCTCCCATCTATACACCTCCAGGGAGGACCAGCCACACCACCTGGGCTGGCCCAAGAGCTCACTCAAGCTCTCACAGCACTGGTCACAGCCTCCAGGGAGGTGCCCCAACTGCGCTGCCCTCCTCCTCCCTCTCTCCTCCCCCCCCGCCCCCATAAAACCTCACAAATAGTAGCACATCTTTAATAAGTTTAACACAGGTAAGATACTTTATATATACAGTCAGGAGCATTCTGCTTGAGTTCACATGGAGTTCCAACTTTTTGACTAGAGGCTCAGCTAGATTCTGTATAATAGAAGAGCACAATTGTTCCAAGGTGTTTATCTTGATATTGATACTATATCAAGATAGTATCAAGTGGCATATTTCTTCATGATTGCCTACAGGGAAATAAGATTATGTTTTCCCCTGTTCATGAAATAATGCTATTCCAGCTCACTTAAGACTTGGTGGTCGAACCAAGCCCATTCTACCACATAAACTCGGGTTACAGCTGGCTCACACCATTTGAGTGAGATAGATTTTCAACTGAAGTGAGCAGGTCTTATCCAAGTCTGACAACAGTGGCTCAGCTAAGGCAGCCCCAGCACACCGTGTATTGACACTCAACCACACATACCCCCCACCCCGCACTGTAAGATTCTTACCTTCTGGTGGCAACATCCTTATTTACAAGGACTACATTCTTTGCCATATGCTGCATAATTGGTAGAAGGTCACCCTCAGTGTAAAACATGTAGCGTTGCAGAAACGGTAACTGAAAGGCAGGGAAGCTATTAGACAAACCTATTAGAATAATCCAAGCACACTATGTTCTTGGTCTTCAGTCTGGTTTGGGTAATTGTGTTCTCTCGTCTCACAGTGGGAGGTTAACAAGTACTGCCCTGCTGCTATCCCCTTGTAGTGGATGACAGGGAGACGGGAACATGGTGAAATACCATGAGGAAAGGAGGAGGCATGCACCTGGCCTAGAGTGGCCTTTTAAGCTGGTGCACAGGTACACTGAGACTCAAACTAGGAGGTGGTCTGACAAGTACAACTTACCAACTCGCATCCATTGAGGAGTTTCAGAGGCAAACAGAAAACAGCTGCTGCAATCCTGGATGGAGGGAAGTGATCCATATCGTAGTCAACAATGCACAACTCCATCAGGTACTTGGCAAGAACATATTGTTTGGAGTCCACCTGCAGTAAGTCAGAGTTAAGTATTGGCTATATCCAAGGCAAGAGTACCCTGTCTAGCCTTGGTTTAGTCAAGAAAGAAGAAATACATCCTTAGAGACACTTTCAGAACTACAGGCCTGAAGTTCAAGTGGTTTAATCACAGAGCAGTTCTGAGTTATATTAGGCTGCTAATAGTCTAGGACCACCCCTTTCAATGGCAGTCTAACAGTCACGTACAGTATTAGACAAGCATTTTAACATCGAGTTTGGGTGTGTGAGGCTCCTGTCACAGAGGAGACAAGACTTATTTCCACAGGGTTCAGTTGCTAAACTCTTGCAGTACTCAAAAGATTTGAAACATTTTAAGAAGTTGACACAAAAGTTGCTTTTTCCAGATATAGGTTACAGTAACACCTATTCTCAACACTACCTCTGCAATATTTGAAGCTCTCCTCGGGAAGCACAGAGGGAGAGGGAAACCCAGAAAAAAGTCCAAGGCTTTCAGGATTAATCTTTCAGTGTCATCTCCATCTGGCAGATTTGGAACTTCAAGTGAAAGTAATTGGTTACATAGCTAAAATCTGCAATATGTGGGGACAGTATCTCTTCATATGTGCTGGCAATGAACAAAGCTGTGATACCAAGCAGTTGCAACTTTATCTTGGGAACAGGATTGTTCTGTAGCAAGAAGCAGTAGATTTATTTGATAGATTTGCCTCAGAACACAGGTTTTCAAGGTAGTCAGTGTGTGTTCTGTGGCAGATTCATACTGGCCCATACAGAATAACTATACATTCTCTGTTACCTCTGTTGGGATCTGCAGGGGGATTAGAAGGCTTTGAGATCAAATCAGGGAGAGGAGTAAGCAGTTTTGAGACTTCAGGTCACTGCTCATAGCTGAGGTTTATGTGGTGCACACAGCTGAGGACCAAAACGTCCTTTGTTCAACTGTATTTTGCTAAGGGTAACATGTCCAGCTGTGGCTTATTAATATAATAAGTAAACAACTTACACAGACCCGACTAGCTTCTTTGGGGTGCAGAGCCAAATCCCTTTATTCGAAACAAACGCCACTCTTTTATTATGGTTTCAAAGTAACACGTGACTCTCTTGACCAACCACCAAGGGCATTTCACTGCCCATGTGTGGGAGTACTTTGGGACTTTCTTTCCCAGGATGCCTCATCCAGTATCCTTCCTGTAACCCGACTCCTACATCTCCCCTCTTCTTTATTATTACTAGGAAGTACAGAATATTACATATAACAGTACATTTTAAGCTTTGTAACCCCCCCTTAACAATGACCACTGCGTCACCTTGGTCTTTCAACAAACATACTTATTTGAATTTTTACCTGCAATCCTTGAGATTTGCTTGACATAAATTTGTACTTTCATTTCTTAAGGGTTTATGTGTATTTGGGATAAACAACAACTTTATTAACCTGAGGGTTTTTCCATAACTGGGTAAAATATCAACTCTCACTTCTCCAAGGGCCTGCATGTAATTGGCAACCAGGAGAAATTCAACTCCATTTCTAGAAAAGGGCCCTTAGAGAACAATTGTTGTGATGTAAGTGTAATTTGTTCAAGGCACGTGAAGCATCTCTGTTCACACACACACATGTTCACACAGCTTCTCTCATTCATACAGAAGTGGCCACTTCACTCATACTCACCCATTTATACCTAGAATTTTTATTATGTCCCTATTTTTGAACTACACATTTTAGATTTATAAGTGGTTATTGGTTGCATGTTTTTCAATCTGTCACTTCTGATAATTATGTCTGGCAACTGTACCTGTCTTGAAAATTTGAAAAGGAATTAATACGAAGAATGTAAGGCTTAACAAACCTAGATTATGTTTTACCTGCTGTATTCCCCCCCTTTTTTTGGTTATAGAAAACTAAAAGTTAATAAATTCAAATATATATTCACAAGTTACGATCACAATATGTTAACATAACTTAAAACTCAGCATCTCCTGCAAACAATTAGATCAAGTTATCATTGCAATAACACAGTATATAAAACAAATTATCATTATAAAATGCTAATACAGTTTGAAATTTAGCATCCTTTGCAAGTAACCAGTTTAAGTTGTCTGTGGTTTTTAGAATGCAGTTAATTTTCAGCTTTTGTCCATCCATTTCTGTTAGCTGCTTTTTGCTTTTAGTAACAAACTTAACGAACATGTTAATAACAATTTAAACAGTCTCAGGTGGCTAGTGTGGAAGAAACAGATGTAGAGGTTAGGCAAACACGTAGTTTCTCTGTAGCTTTTTGTTCAAGAATGGTCTTTTTTGAAGTAAAGCAATAGAAGTAATTTTATGCCTTTAATTGTCCTTTACTTCAAAGTTGAAGGTTGAGGTAAAGGCTGCCTCCCCTCACACCTGAGCTCTGAAGGGGAGCCGAGCACACCCGCAGCCCTCCCCACCAAGCAGAGACTTGGGAGAGCGGTGGAACCCAGAGGGCTGCCCTGCTGCACCCCTCTCTGCCCTCCGAGCTGAACGGAGGGAAAGGGAAGGAGGGAGCAGGACACAGAAGGGCCGCGCGGCTGCCTCCCCCCGGCCAAGACGACACCCCGCTTCGCACCCCCGTCCACCCCACTCTGTGCCGAGCCCTTCGCGCCTGTACCCGGGTGGCCCTTGTGGCCATGGCGGAGCAGAGGGACCGGACGGACGGGGCTCAACGGGACCAGAGAGACAGGCTGAGCCCCGGCAGGATCGGAAAGACGAACCGCGGGAGAAGAGACGGAGCTCCAGTAGGATCCGATGGATGAAGCTTGGCGTGACGGCCTCGCAATTAAAAACTCCCACGGCCGCCATTCATTGGCCGCCGCGGCCCCGCCCACGGCGCTGCCCTGACGGTGGGCGGGTCGGGCCGTCTGTGCGGGCACCGCCCCGCTTCCCTGCCGTCCTTCCGTCTCGAGTGCTTTTGTAACCAGAAAAGTCAAGATGCAGTAAATAAAATATTACTGAAAAACTTCTTCCCCGTTACGTACACACATAGTGCTTGCTGCAGGAATTTCCTTTAAACTTAATTGTTCAAAGCGTTTTGTTGCAACTCTCTGCGTACAAGTGACTTGCCTGTGAATTATCCAGGTATGAGCTCATCTTCACTGCCATGATCGTGGTCCCAGATACCTGATTTGTTTTGGGTTCTGCTGCTAGCAGCTGAAGTAGGAAATTGGCATTTGCTCAGAGGAAGCTTGTGGCAAGCACGAACTCTTTTCAGTTATGTAAACCTAATGATTTGAAAAGACAGAATCACACCCCCCCTTCCACTTTTCACCTACCTGTGACAATGAGGTTTAGTGAGATACTGTAAAATCTAGTACAATCATCTCAAAATAGGAGTGGCACATGTAAATATTAACTGAAGCTTTTTGTTTGAGAATGGTTTTCAAAACGAAAAGATCCACTCTACTTACAGGCTGAGCATAATTGTAGCACTGCTATTCAAGTGACAAGCCTTCTGAAGGAGACAAGGTGAAAAAAACACTGCCAAATGCGTACATGGACAAAAAACAGGATCCAGCTTTGAGAAGGCTGCTGGCTCTGCAGCACTGTCCTAAGATATGAGAAGTTGTGATTTATGCACACATTCTTCATTATTCAACACAAATGCAATTGCAACTTCTAGAAACTTTCTGACCACAATTTTTCAAGTCAGTCTTGTACTGCAGATGGCATTTTAACACATCACAGGAGGAATAAACTCACTTAAGAGTGACAAAACAAACCACTCAGTTTGTATAAAAAGTTCCAGTCACAAGAGAAGCAGAATTGCTCAAGGACAATTCAAACAGTCCAGTCACAAGAAAAGCCGAAAGGCTGAAGGACATTTCAAACTGCATTCCTGGTAAATCTGATCTTATTATATAATTCCTATAACACTCTATCCTCCCACTAACATCAAGTCTGTTCTTACTATAATGGTACTTAGGAATCACTGAATACCATAAATGAGAAAACAATATGACAAAATAATACTGCTGTGATACATGGGATGATGAAAGACGTACTCACTCTTGCTAACATTCTAGATTTGTTAAATTCCAAGGAAAATATTTAAAGGCTGCAGACAAGCAAAAAAGGGGGCACAGGAAGCCTGTGAACAAATGTAAGAATAACTGCCTCTCAAGATGTATGTTATTAACCTGGTGGCAGGCATTCACTAAAGACACGGATTTGTTTTCTTCACAGTATTAAGACAACAGCATGCACAAGATTTTCTGAAACACACTCTTTCACCTACAAGTTAAGAAATCACAATTTACTGTCCATTTCAGCAACTTGCCAGGTCCCAGACTACTGTCACAATTTGGTATTCTAAACCTGGACTGCATCCTTGGGTAATACACAAAAGTATAGCTGGCTACAGTACATCTGCAGCTGTGTTGTGGTATTACTAAAACAATTAAGTAAAAAAATTAAGTAAAAATAATGTATCTTGAAGAGGCAAAGTTTAGCTGAGTGCTAGGATGCTTTTACACTTCAAACTGTTGCATTTCCAGCTATTCATACAAAAAAGTACAAAAGATTTATTTCACAGAGTGGTTTGAGTTATGATTCTGAGTCTTGGTGGGAAAGAGAAAAGTGTCTTCATTTTTTGCCCCTCCCAATTTCTCACTGTTAACCTGTGGATTTCTCTTCTTAAAAAATAATTTGATACAAATGTAACATGGTAACATGTATTTGCTCTGGTGCATTAAGTTTAGAAATCAAATTTGTATGCTGAGACATAATAAAAAAACTGTAGTCTTCTATTATATAACACAGTGTGCAAAACAAATGGCTTCCTGATTTTCACTCCCCATAATAAACATGTATTTGTTTTCATTCAAAGTCTTCAAGCTATCTTTGAAAAAAAAAATATTCTCCAGTTGATCATGTTTGCCTTCTGATATAAACTATTTCCATTTCCAATTGCTAACAAAATACAATACCAATGTTCCACATTTAAGAGAAAGTATGGAATATATCCGTGCTCATCTAGAAGTTGCAAGACTTCTGTTTAATAAACTCCAAGTACAGTATTTAAGATTTCAATTATTTTCATATATACAGCAAATATTCAAGTCCTTATTTCCTTTATAAAAGCATTTTGATCCAATTAAGAAAGACAGTATGCTTAAAAAAATTCAAATATATAGTACATTTGTTCCTGTACATGTATGTTCAAGATTTCCTGGCAAAAATACAAATATGGAATCTAATAGCTTCACCATTTACACCTCCTGTGGTGAACACAACTTTGTATCACATGATGTAAGTACCATCTTTGTAGTATTTCATGGATTCTAGTTGCTGAGTCATTGCAAGAACATCCTGAAATCCTGTACTGAGTCCGGACATGTGTTGAAAATAAGCCTCCTTCTCCACTTGGACAGTTAAGTTGTTTACACCAGCATCTTTCAGAATTGCTGTGACCTGAACAGAACAGTATAGTTAACATTAGTATTACACTTCATACATATCTCACAGTAACTTGCAGTGTTCTGGCTCCGAAATGCTGTACAGGAAAAAAAACTCTATCATAATCATTACTTCAGCAAAGCCTTTGACAGCATCTTCCATATCGTGCTCCTGGAAAAGGTAGCAGGCAGCCCATGGCTTGGACAGTTGCACTCTCTGCTGGGCTAAGAACTGGCTGGAGGGCCGGGCCCAGAGAGTGGTGGTGAACGGGGCTGCATCCAGTTGGCAGCCGGTCACTAGTGGTGTCCCCCAGGGATCGGTGTTGGGTCCAGTTCTGTTTAATATCTTTATTGATGATTTAGATGAGGGGATTGAGTGTACCATTAGCAAACTTAGAGATGACAGCAAGTTGGGGGGGAGTGTTGATCTGCTGGAAGGCAGGAGGGTTCTGCAGAGGGACCTGGACAGTCTGGATAAATGGGCTGAATCCAATGGGGTGTGGGGTTTAACAAGGCCAAGTGGAGGGTCCTGCACTTTGGCCACAACAACCCCATGCAGTGCTACAGGCTGGGGGCAGAGTGGCTGGAGAGCAGCCAGGCAGAAAGAGACCTTTGGGTTCTGACGGTGGGAAGCTAAACATGAGCCAGCAGTGTGCCCAGATGGCCACAAAGGCCAATGGCATCCTGGCCTCTATCAGGAATACTGTGGCCAGCAGGACCAGTGAAGTGATTGTTCCCCTGTTCTCAGCACTGGTTAGGCCGCACCTCAAATCTTGTGTCCAGTTCTGGGCCCCTCAGTTTAGGAAGGACATTGAGGTGCTGGACTGTGGTCCAATGAAGGGCAATGAGGCTGGTGGAGGGACTGGAACACAAGTCCTTTGAAGAGTGGTGGAGGGAGCTGGGGTTGTTTAGCTTGGGGAAGAGGAGGCTCAGGGGAGAACTCATCACTCTCTACAACTCCCCGAAAGGAGGTTGTAGCCAGGTGAGTATCAGTCTCTTCTCCGAGGCAACCAGCAGTAGGACAAGAGGGCACAGTTCTAAGCTGTGCCAGGGGAGATTTAGTTTAGACATTAGGAAGAAGTTCTTTAGAGAGAGACTGGGCATTGGAGCGGGCTGCCCAGGGAGGTGGTGGAGTCACTGTCCCTGGAAGTATTTAGGAAGAGACTGGATGTGGCAGTTAGTGCCATGGTCTAGTAGACAAGATGGTGTTAGGTCAGAGGTTGGACTGAGAGGTGTTTTCCAACCTAGCTGATTCTGTGATTCTGTGTGATAATGAAGAATTCAGTTTTCTGGAAAGCAAAGACTAGCTTCAGAGGGTATGGCTTTGCAACTTCTGCACAGCGGATAATTCTTAGTGTCTTGCATAAGGAAATAGGTATCTTTTGAAGGAAAAGAAAAACCCAAGGCAGATAGGTAGTGGTAATGCAATTATAAAATCATGATTAGCATCCAGATATCCCTACTGTTTACTGCCTGTTTTGCAGGCCTGTTTTTCCACGACCCCTTCTTTTCTCCGAGTAGATGTAGTGCCACTTTCAAAAGTGAGTGTTCAGGCAGATGTTCTAGCAAACAACTCCTTATGTAGCTGATTCCAAGCTAGCAGGCAAGGGGCAGTACAGTGTTAGAGACCAGCTCTGAGACATTAATGGATAGCTACAAAAAAAAAATCACACATGGCAGCTTTAACTTCAGTCTATGACTGAAAAAGGACTACTGAGTAGGAAATTAAGAGACTAGAGTCCAAAAATTTTGCACCTTACCTGCTGTACAATTCTCTGTTCCATCACATCCGATACCACTTGGACATGTATTGTGCCTGCCACAACACTTGCAGAGTGACACCAAAAATGAGGATCTCTGTAGGATATGACTCCCTCTATTTTTTGAATCTGAAAAGAAATTACATTAGCAACAATTAAGATATCATTTTAAAATTGTGTATGTGATATTGGTGGATAATATTTCACATGGAAACAAAGCTGTGTAGCATAGCAGCTTTCCAACTAAGCCATATTCATAAATATCTAGTACTGAAAGGTCACCTTGCTACTACTGTCCAATACTGGAGGGTAAAAGTCAAACTAAATGAAAACCCCAGAAGAGCACAACGCTAAACAAGATGAGAAAAAAACCCAAACCATATTTAGTGTACACATCACAGGAACATACATGGACAGACTAACCTGAATGCGAGTTGGGCATCTACCATTTCTAGGGCACCTGTTACCTCACTATTTAGCAGCTATTTAGTTACCACAGTTACTTAATTCAGACATAAATTCTTTCTGCAATTTATAATTTTTCAAACTGATCTTTGTTCTGAGTCTGACTGGGATGGTTTTTCAAGGCAGCTGGTAAGGCACTGTGTTTTGGATTTCTGCCTACAACCCTTTTGATAACACACAAATATTTTGGATATTGCTGAACTGTCGAGTCTTTTGTACTGGGCACCGTCAAGGTCTTCTAGTTTTCTCTCTGCCTTTGCCTGATGCGTAGGCTGTGGGTGAGCAAGAAACAGGGAGGGGACACAGCCAGGGCAACTGATCCAAGTTGTTTAGAGGGATATTGCATGCCATATAATGCCATGCTCAGCAGTAAAAACTGGGGCAGAGGATGAAGAGGGGATTCTGACTTCCAAGGTGGCTGTTACTTGAGACTGCTTGGATACTGGCCTCCTTGTGGGAGGTGGTGCATTGCACTTTTCCCTTCCTCTACCTGTTAAATTACATTGTTTCCAGAGTTTTCTTGCTTATGCTCCCCTGTCGCACTGGCAGTGGTGGTGCTGGTAAAGGAGGAGAGTGAGCAAGTGGCTTGTAGGGATGCCTGGCTGCTAGCTGGGGTCAACTATTGTTTTATCATGACGTATTTTTTAAAATGCTTTTCCTATTACCTTTTAATGAATTGCTCTTTGATTGTTTTCAAAAAGTGCCTTCTTTTTCCCCAGCCTCCCAGAATTACTTCCCTCATCAAAAAGTGAAACCACTCTCTGCAGCTCACTTTCGTGTCACTACAGAAGTCTCTCCCAGACAAGTTCCATCTGTCCTTTTCTTTCTCATGTAGAAAAGAACACATTTCCCCCTCTAATAACTGACAGGACACATTCAGGATAGTCTTCCTTGAAGCCTCTAGTTGATGGTATTGTCAAAGCACTTTTAACTCTTTGTTTTACAGAGAGGAGTTCTCTACACTGAGGTCCACACTATATTCTGGGCAGAAACTTAAAATAAGCCAACAGCAAAGACCAAGTACAGCTTCAAAGCGGACAGAAAAAAAACTAACTAGAATGAGAAAGTAATTAGAAAAAACAGTTTAACTTTTGCCATCTCACCTAATGTGAACCAGTGTGCCCTTCGTGATATGGACAAATTAGAAAATCTGAAATTACAGGCTCATGATATAATCCTGTAGTCTGAACTGTTTGCTGCAAGCTTCAGGGAACTGCCATGTTACTACTAAATACGTTTCCCACACTGTTACCATACTTGTCTTACATCATACCCATAAAAAGCTACCCATAAAAGCAAAAAGCAGTGCAAGTCTTTTTAGCTGCAAAACAACTTTTATCAGTAGAACTACTAGTCCTGTCACATCTCTGCAAAATAGATTTTAAACAACTTGAGACATGAAGCTAAGACAATGGAAACTGTCAGATTGAACTACTTGAGTTGAATAATTATTAAAAACAGTTACAGTTTTGTATGTTTGTATACGAAAACATTTAGAATTGTACCTTTTCTAAAGCAGCATGCAGATCTTTCTCCTGTTCCGGAGGTATCCTCAACAAAAGCACTTGACAGGCATCTTTCAATAGTGGGATAACACTAAGAAAAATCAATGTAGCAATAAAGAGAGAGCAGAGTGGATCAGCAATGAGCCATCCAAATTGCTGAATAAATATCGTGGACACAATAACACCAACACTGCCAAGAGTGTCTGCTAACACATGCAGAAATACACCTGAAAACAAAATAAATGGAGTGATTAACAGTTCTGTCTAAAGTGTATTTATATGTTCAATAGGAAAAACACAGTAAAGCTTATTAAATATCTCAAGCTAAACCAAATATCCTCTGCCTAACCTGGGGCAAAATACACAAAACATTTAGCTTTTCTAATGTTTAATTATAAATTATCATAAAACCAATTTTTACTCTATAGGTCAATGATCTAGGCAGGCATCCACAGATTTAACTAAATGTCTTTAAATTGTTAGTGGGATCATTTAACTCTCTACAGAGGGATCTATTGATCCTTAACCAGGAATAAAAAGATCAGTGGACACGTACTGACTTGTTAATATGGACATATATTAACATATTGTTCAGTTTTTGAAAGCCAATTTTGCTCCAGTTTTACAAGAACATTGTCTTTTTGCTACTGGTAGGAATTTTATATTTTATACTGCTTTCATTGTGGGTTCATTCTCAAGGTACACTCAATGGGCATAGAAAAATACCC